ATAGTTTCAAATATACTTTTTTTAAGTTTTGTAAACATTGACTTATTACTGATAAAATTCAATATTTTACATGATTGCATTTCTAAAAAATCATTACCAATTAAATAATCTTGTATAAAATCGATAAGTTCTTCAATTGACAACTCATTAACAGCAACTAAGAGTTTCAAAATCGTATCAATATCTAAATTGTTCAATTCAATAATTGCACAATATAGATACTTGAGAATAATATTAAATATTAATGCACTAATATAAGGTTGTGATAAAATAAAAAATTGATTTTCTTTTTTAGCCCAATTTTTGGATAAAGCATTTTGAAAATAAGTTGATCTAGCACGTAAAATATTTGAATGTGCAAAGATCTGTTGCCTATTTAAATCTGTATCAACTGTAATAATAGTATCATAACTATTATCTTTAGATTGATACAATGAATCTAAATCATTAACTAATTTAATAGTGAATGTTTTCGACATTTTAAAAATTATATGAATAAAAATCTATTCGGTTTTAAAAACTGAATAGATTAAAATTTTTCATAAATTTCAATGAACCAACTATTAGAAAATATATTTTTATATTTGTTTATAATATTAATTTCAAACATTTCATAATTTTCATAATATTGTTCTTTTGAACATTTAAAATCTGTATGTAAAAATTCGATTCTTTTAAAAATACAAAACAGATTAAAACAATTTAGTTTTTTTTAAGAATTCTAACATATTAAAATGTAATCTGAGTTCTAAATTATCTATAATTAGAAAATTCAAAAGTAAACATTCCCAAAAATGTAAATCTTCTTTTAATAAGATGTCATTATAATTATTCTTAGTATTATTCACCATAATATCATACAAATTTTTGTAAAAAAATCGATATATTTTAGGATCATCAATAACTTTTGTTAAATTATTATTTAAAATAATTCGATCTGTCTCAAAATTAAAATTATAATAACAACAAAATCGTTTAAAAAAATATTTTTCAAATTCAATTTTATAAGGTTTAGATATTAGACGTAAATTATTAATAATGTTTTTTGGACAAAATTTTGTAGTATTTAAAATTTTTTGATCTTGCAATATATAATTTAACGTTTGAGGAAAAATAAAATCATCACATAGTGATTTTATTATCATTAAAATAATTTCAGTAGAAAATTTTATTTTACATAAATAAAAATCTATTTGGTTTAAAAAAACTAAATAGATTATTTAGTATAAGGTTTAAAAACATTTTTTGCATTTTTTATTTTTAAACTTCCAATACGTGTGGAATTAGTAAACTTTATACCAAAGAATACTACAGGTTCTAATTCTGATGCAGTAAATTCCAAATCATCAATACTAAATTCTTCTATATATGAAGAAATTTGTTTTAATTTTGATAATTCAAGTTGAGATTCAGCTAATTTAATCTTAGAAACCAAATCATTATCTTTATATAGAACAATTTTTACTTTTGCATTTTCTGCAGTATTGATAGCATTATCAGAATATTTAACATTTGTTACAAAAAAACCAACAGTTCCATCTGGTTGTTTTGACATAGTTCTAGCAAATTCTCTAATATCACCAGGACCGACATGATATTTTTCTCCTTTAAACTTGGCTTGAATTATAAAGTTGAGACTTTTATAATTTCCAAATAAATCAATATTTCCATCACCAATCGGACGAAATACATCATCAATAGTAAATTCTGTTCGAGTAGAATTAACTTCAATTTGATTTTTTCTTAATAGTTCCAAAAGAAAAAATTCATACTTGTCACCTTTTTTTTTAGTTGTTAACTAAATAAAATAAAAATAAATGAGTAAAATATTATCATCATACCAGTCATAAAATCTAATGCTGGTTAAACCACTATTCACGAAATTATGAATTATCAAGTTTTACACCTATCGATTTCCTATACTATTCACAGATGGTACCTATCCTAATGCTATAGGACTCACTATAGGCAGCGATGACTTATAACTTGATAAGTACTAAACATAATACTTAATAAGAATAAATTCTTACCTCTTTTTTAATAGTCATTTTGGTTACGTATAAAAAAATCTATTCGGTTATAAACTGAATAGATATTTATTAAATAAATAATATTTTAAACATTATAACTATTTCGATTTCCTGTTTTTTTATCATGTTCTAATTTAAAATCTATTGCTAATTGTTTTGCTTGTTCACTAGTTCTATTTTTTGTAATATAAAACAATTTTGTTTTTTCTTTATTATTTTCATTCCAATGAAAATACCAAGCTTTATGATTTTTATTAAAACTAATTTCATTATATCCTGAAGTACTATCAATACATAGTTTACAATTTAATCGATTTAAATGTGGTGTTGTTTCTTGTAGATTACATTCATGATTATCAAGACCATTTCTGTTAATGTTGTCTATTATTTCCATTTTTGAATAAATAAATCGATGAAAATAACTTTTTTTTCCTTTAATATTACCTGTTCGAATATAATATGTAGCATTAATTCTACATTTAAAACAAAACCATACATAACTTTTTAATATTCCATAATTTTTAATATCAATTAAAAAAGTAATATTAGACTTTTGAGTTTCAATTTCAAAATTATCAATATCTTTAATTGAAACTTTTCTAATTCGATTAAAAATTTTATTTTTATAATGACTAAATTTTCCAAATACCCAAAATGTTTTAATCATAAAAGTTGGATGAATCTTTTTTCATAATGAATTTTCTGATTCATATTTCAAAAAATTTTTTGTAGATTCGAACATTATTAATTATTTTGGTTATGTAGGAAAAAATCTATTCAGTCATAAACTGAATAGATAATTATTAACAATTGAATTTAATGGAGTTTCTATTTGTTTATTACATTTATTACATAGTTTATGAAAATGAAATTGATAAAAAAATTTACAATTATCACAACTCTTTTCTCTTTTCTATAAACCAAAATACTCACAACATTTATTCTTTAACAATTTCTCAATTTGCTTTTTCTTATCACAAATGATACAATCTATATCACATTGCATATTTGAAACAAGGATTTCTTCTAATGAACGAAATTTATGACATTTATTACAAATTCTTTTATGTTGACTTAGAACATATTTCTTATCATATAAATAATATTTCTTTGAAGGATAAAAAATACAATAAATCTCTTCATTAGCTTCTCATTTTATTAATTTTTGTGTTTGTTTTAAATTAACTTGATTCTTGAGCCAGAACCATTTGTCATTGAATTTTTCAATTTCAAATATATCATATTTATAATTTGTTTTTCCATATTCAATATATTTTTAATATCGAAACAAAACATGCTTGTCAATATTGATTGTTGTGATTAATAGTTTAGAAAAATAAACATGTCTTATATGTTCATCATAAATATAAAAAAAACAATTTAAAAATATTCGAGATACTTTTCATACATGAATCTGTCTTTTGAAAGGTAAACATGAAAATATAACCAATAATAATTCAGTTGGTAAACTATCAAGTTTAAAATTCATAATTGACAAGTTTACATTAAAAAAAATCTATTCGGTTTTTAATGACTGAATAGATAATTTTAATTTATTATATAATAAATCAAACTTTTTTTTAGCATCTAACTTTAATAATTGAGAATTATAATTTATTTGATTCCACATATCGATATAATCAATACTTTTCTTTTGTTTAAAATCTATTTCTGCTCTTTCAAACATATAATTAATGATAAATATTTGATCATTTTCATTATCACTTGCTTGAATATTCCAAGCAGAATCAATTATTTGATTAGAAATTTGTTTTATTTTTTTAAGTTCGTTCATATTCATATTACATAAATAAAATTCTATTCGGTTAATAACTGAATAGATAAATATGTTTATTTCTAATAATAAATAAAATAAAAATAATAAAAATAATTTAATTTGAACTAGATTCTACATTTTCATCTTCGCTACTACTACTTTCATTTGTAACTTTTTCTTCTATCTTATGTATTTTTTTTTGTTTTTTTGTTTTAACAACACCATTTTTTACTACTAAAATTTCTTTTTCAGTTTCTGCACTTTCAATTTCTTTATGTTTTCTTCTTGCTGCACTTCTCTTTTTACTTTCAGCAGTTCGAATTGCACGAAATTTCTTATTAATTACTTCTAATATAATTGACATATGTTCTTTAATAGAATCAGTCATATCATACTCTACTAATTTTTTTAAATCTACTAAAATCCATTCTGAATGATTATCTTTTTCAGTATGTTGAAGAATTTGATTAGTAATTGTATAATAAATTACTGTACGATATAATATTTGCTGTCCTTCAGAATCTGGAAAAACTCGAAATCCCTCAATAGTACTAATTATTTTTAAATTTTCTAATTTAATATCAACTCCTGCCTCTTCCTTAGCTTCACGAATTGCGCAGTCCATATAAGATTCATTTGAATTTTTACCACCACCTACTACTTGCCATTTATTGTAATAATCTTTAAATGGATTAATACGTTGACTTATCCAAACTTTTTTATCTTCATTAACAATAATAAGAAGACTAAAATTACGTATATTCTTTTCAAATTTACTAATATTATCTTTACTATCATTTAACAAATTTTTGTTAATTTCTATTTCTGCACAAACTTGTGTAAGAATTGTATCAACAGAAAAGCCATTTTTTTTCATTTTTTCTAATGTTTCTTTGTATAATGATAAATCTGAAAAATATCCATCGAATATAATTTGATTTTTTTTTAAACTAAGATAAGTTTGATAAAGATCAATTGTGTTATTATTATTTTGAGTCATTGTTAAAGTTACATATTTAAAAATCTAACTGGTTTATAAAAACTAGTTAGATGTTTATTAAAAAAAATAAATATATAATATATTAATTATCACTATCATCCATTCGTAATCCTTCATCCTCAAAGACTGGAATACCATTATTTAAAAATGCATTTTGTTTAGTAATATAATTTGGTATAATATTATTTAATCTAATACAAATACATTTTTTTTCTTTACAACTTGAACATTTTTTATCAAGAACAACAAATCCATCATCTGAAATATATGATGAATTAGAAGAAATTGAACATGATTCTGAATTAATCGAATCGATATCAAAATCTTGTACATTGTATAATTTGTTTTTACATTTAGTACAGAATTTTGTTTTTCGAAACGTATTACATTTCTCACAATATAAGATTTTAAATTTTTTTTTATATGGACGTTTAAAAATATATTTTTTTGGTTGTATATTTTTAAGACGTGAACTTCTTCGTACTAATATTTGATTTCCATTTATAGTTATATATTCAGTTGAAAAATTATATTCATCTTTGCACATGAAGCGAGAAAATTCTTGTAAATTATTTTTATAATGCATTTTTGAAATTATATCGATAAAATTCTATCAGGTTTTAAAAACTTGATAGATATATAAATTTAATAAAAAATATAATATAATAATATAATAATAATATATATGAAAATATAAAAAAATTAAACAAATAATTTTTTTTCTCTTTCTAACTTTTTAATTAATTTTTCTAAGTTAGTGACATCATTACTGGCACCATTTAATGGTCCAGACAATACTTTTGATTTCCATTCTTGCATCTTAAAATAAAATGCATGATTTCGATCTAGAGGAATAATTTTATCAACATCATCATATTCTTTTTCAATTACTTCATAATAACGAAGTAAATTTTTCATAAATTCTAAACGTTCATCTGAATTAGGAAAAGCTAATTCAAAAGATTTTTGTCTAATATCTTTTTGAAGCATCCAGTTTTTTTGTTTTAAATAAAATTCATATGTTTCATCAGAAAATTTTGGAATTTTACAAGGAGAAGTTTCTTCAACAACTTCTTCTTCACTATCTTTTTGTTGACGTGTTCTTTTAGACATTTTTCAAATTGTATACTTTATAAAGTTACATAAATAAATATCTAATTGGTGAAAATTCACTGATTAGTTATTGTAGCATAAAATCTTATACATATTATAAACATATAAAATAAAATTAAAATAAACTATTTGAATTCAATTCTACAGTTTCCAGTAACTAAAATTTTGTTATATTCAAATTCAATTTCAATTTTTTCACTATTATTAACTTCAA